ATACCACGTGCAGACAGCCAACTATTGGCACGTACAAACAACACAGTCATGGACTTCACTGCTCATGAAGGTTTGCATTCAGACTTCAGGCTGCATCCTAAAAATATTGGCTTCGTACATGAGAGATCTGTTGTCTTCACATGGCTGTTATTTGCTATGAGCGATGGAGCAAATTCCTGCTGCTTCTGTCACCATCTGTGCCTATGTACTTTAACAAAGGTAACTGAGATTTATCCTGAGCAGCCTGATCTCCCTTGCTCTGCATATAATGCAGGCTGTCATTTTGGATGGCTTGAGAAATACTTTTTCTATCTTATATATGGTGCATAAGGTAAGCAAAAGGTAGCTTAACTAAATACTTTAAGTTGGTCTTAGAACATAGTGTGTGTTGGCAGAACAGCTGAATACAGCCTGTGGAGCTGAATAATGATAATGATGACTATGATGATAATAATAATATTTTTATATATATATATATATATATATGAATAATACCCAAAAATAAAAATGTTTCATTTTGAAAGCCAGGGGAAAAGATAATACCCATTGTTCTGGGTTCAAAAAACACTCATAATTCATGCAACAGCCACACATGCTACATTTCATGCACACTGTGGTCTGGAAATTAGGATCACAAGGTATGCAAGGAACCTGGAAGCAAAGAGGTCTGTAGGGACTCCTCTCAGCTGGAGTCCCAGCCTTTGCCTCTGCTGAGCCTGCCACCATGCATGCTATTAGCATTTATTATATGGGGGCGTTTTTGTGCTGTGGGAGCATCTCCACCTGGAACAAGTTGAAAAAGCATAAAGGCCATCAAAGTGCTATCAGATGTTATTAACACTGGGCCCACTAAAATCTGGACTACATCTGAACTACTGGCACACAGATGACAAGTCCCACATCCCATTAAGAATTTCCTGAGTCCTCAGAAGTATTGCTCATACAAAAGATGCTTCTGAATGAATTGTCGTTCTCTAAATAACAAAGCAGAGAATAAGAATATTTCTGATGGTTTCATTAGTGGCTTTTCAGCCCAGGCCCTGAATCTTCTTTCTACCATTGTTTTCTCTCTCAGGAGGCTCCCTTGCACAGACTCTTCTGCCCTCCCCGTGGCTGCTGATGGTGAGATCCGTGTTGGAGCCCATCAACCACAACCACTGTGCTGGCCCACGAAGGGCTCCAACCACGGGCTGGCTGCACAAACCTTCCCAAGCTGGAGGCACCAGCCCTCACCATATTTTCAGTCTCTCAAGCACCTCTTCACCATATTTGTGTCTCTACAGAAAATGGCCCCATGCTCTGCCGTCGCCGTCATTTTCTCCCTCTAACCTTTCTGCCCAAAGATTATTTTCTGCTCCTTCCACTCATCCACCAACCTTCCATCTGTAGTTCCCACACCAGGAATACCATCCTCCCTGCCCTAAGTGCTCGTGACAGCTGCCATCTTGGCCCAATCAGGAGCGATTGATCCAGCATCCTTCAGCATCCAGCGCATTTGGTCTGCAAAGCTCTCCAGCTGGGTCTGTAATAACTCATATCCGTTGTGGGTTACACATCAAGCAACCCTTTCCCCATCAGTCACGTCTCTCCTGATGGAAAAGTTCTTCAATGAACCCCTTCACATCTAATCCACCATCTCATGCAGGACATAATGGAAAAAAAGTTATGAAAAGCAATATTTTGTACTGCTTTGATGCAAACAAAGCTGATCTCTGTGTCATTTTTTTTGAATAAAAACTTCTGTGGGCAGAGACTGAATTTTTCTAGGATTTAGTCCATGATAAGAGCAGTCAACTCATAAATATTTATGTCTGAGGCTCACTAAATGAGCCATTACTCACTACTTTCATTGTCATTCACTCTGTGGCTGCACTCACTGAGCTCAGGTCCTGCTGTACAGCTCCAGCTGCTGGCACTGGGAGCACAAGGCCCCTGCTCTGGCACCTGGGAACTCTGAGAGCAAGAGAATCAGGGCCAGATAGTCCTGTTCGTGTGAGCTCAACATTTCAGTGCACCTGAGCAGAAGACACAAATACCTTTCTAAACCTGACAATGGGATGTGTGTCCAGCTCTCCACCCTCCTTTAGGTTCCCGACACAAGCCAAGTGACCACGTTCCATTTACTGCGGGCTGGTTGTGTTACCTAAATCACAATTTCTGGTGACGTGTTTTGCGCAATCAGACTTGTTTGGCTGTTTTGTGTACCTGGCCCACAAATGTGAAACTAAGTACCTACTCAGAAGTTAGATTTGCTGAATGTTTTTAGCTATATAGCAATATGTTTCTGTGCATCACGGGCATGGAAATCAGGCCCAAACAAGATGGTGCAGACCAATATTCTGCCTCTGAGAAACAGCAGGTTGCAAAGGAAGAACACAAGCAGAGTAAAGTATGTAGAGAGGCTTCCTCCTCATCTGCCAATTTGGAATTCAGTGATTATTGAGCCAGAATTGTTATCTTTGGATTTAAATGTTTTTCAAGTTTTTCTTTCATGGTTTTGCCCCATCTTCCATTGACCCAATGTGAACTTTTAATGTCCACATCCTCCCATGCCAAGGAGTATCCATGGCTTAATTACACACTGTGTGAAGCACCATTTTCTCCTCTTTCTGTTTCTTTTCTCAAACCTGTCACCTGTGGGTTTCATTTGGCAGCCCAAGCTCTCGTAATGAAAGCCATTTAAAAATCATTCCATTATTTATTTCCCTTCTCTGTGTCCTTGTAATGTTACCCATCTCTCCATCAGTCTCTCACCTCTTTTCAGACTAGAGAGCTACTGCATGTGTCTCGTTTGGAAGTTGTTCCCTATCTTTGTGCATCCTTTAGCCTGACCTATAATCTTTTTCCAAATTCACATATTCCTTGGGAGGTGAAGGACCAGAGCTGTGCATTCTGTTGAACAGTCAGGAGCATTATTGTTTTGTAGAAGGTAATGGTGACGTGATTTCTTCTCTCTCCTTCTATAAAATACATCTTTATTTCCCATAACTGACAGGTTCTATAGGAAGGAAAGCTGTTTACTGCCACCCCTTGGCCATAACTAGAATGATTTGGTGCAGAATCCTCATTGCAAATCCAACCAAAATTCCCTGAATCCATAAAGTAAATGTGAAGGTATTAAGGTTCCACGTCAATGAGAAATCTAGAGGGGATAAACTGAGAATTAACTGCTTTCCATAAACAAGACCTCACTGATATGAGAGAAACAAATGAAATTATATAAAGACCAGTTCTTAGAAATGCTGACAATGTTAGACATGTCACAAGGGAAAAGCTTGAGGAGAGGAAGTGCAGTTCTCTGATCCAAAACTCATGAAATCATCCAAGTCCTTTTATTGATTTCTGAAAACATGGTTCCGAAGTTCTGCACTGATTTTAATCTAAAGACATAAAATTAGGTATTATGAGAGTAGTAATATGAACAGAGGGACTTTCTATGTAAAGCCAAAATTACAGCAAACATAAAAAAGTTAACTGGAGCTTCTTCCAGCTGATGTATTTTTATTGTTATTTTTATAAATAATTTTTCTATATACTATCAGTCATTATATATTTTGCATATCATGGCTAGGCTTTGCGAATGAAGATTTAGGAAGGCTCTATCCATGTTTGTTACAGATATTTTGCATATAATCAGTGCTTAATTGCATCTAATTATTAATAAGGACTGAATACATATTACCATATACATGGAGTATTACAGACACTAGATGCCATGTAAATATTCTGAAAAAATCTCAGTTTCAAATGGCAAAATTGCTAGTGGAGAATAATGTACATTCTGACATAATCACACATTTTTTATTATCTAGAGATGTCATTCACCTTCAATGGGCATGCAAATCATCTACAAGTTAAAAGGTGGATAATTAAAGTCAGTGGTTTCTTATAGAATAATTACATAGTTTTATTCTAAATTCTTATTTTTTATGAAAAAATCTATCATTGATAACTCACTTCAGACTATGAATAGTACAAGGAAAATCTTGAAGAAACAACATTATTTGTGAATTGGTGTTCTCCACAAGTACATAACTACAGAATCCTCCCCACGCTGCAGTCAAACAGGTAGGTTTTGCTTTCTACAAGTGGGCGAAGGAGCTCCCAGAAATCAAGCAGTCTGTGCAGAGTGAAATCTGGATTAGGAGTGAGGAATTCCGCAGTCGATGTATCAACACATGCTTCTTTATCAGCAAAGAGATGGAGCTTCCTTTCAGGCTGTCATCACCTCCAGGTTTGCTGGGTGCCTTCCCCAGATGCCACCTGAGGAGCTGAGCTTGCCATGAGCACCCTTGGAGCTGGACACCGTGGGACACACATTGACTGCACGCTGGTACAGGTGTGATAAAGCATCATGGAGAAAGAGTGGATGCAGCCCTGAACAAATGAACAATTTTCTGACTCACTTCTGGACAGGTGACAGTGAAAGGTGCAAAAATTTGACGTTTTTCTTTTCAACTTAGCACTTGCATGTCCCAGTCAAAGGTGTGATGTTCACAATACACCAGTCACAACAGGAGAGCAGTTGGGTTCAGAGTTGTCCTCCCCAGCTCACTCTGGTGATGAATCAGGCCAGCAGCACACTGCAAACCTTCAGTACCCACAGCCACAACCAGGCTGGCCCTGCCTGCAAGAAGGTGGCTGGGCAAGTACTGAAAAAAAAAAATCCTGACTTGGCTTGCTGTGGGAGGGAGGACAGAAAGGCTGCTGAAAGTCAGAGCTTTGCAAAATATGTTGGGGAGCACCGGCAGGGAGAGCCTTCAGCTTCTTCTTCATGCAGCATCTTCTTTGATTATTTAGTAGATGGGACCCTGTTGGAAAGTACTCCCTGGAGGTTCCTTCACCAAGTGAATTCTGAGGTATTCAGCCATTTTACAGTAATTTCTCAGAGAAAATCATAATAAAATATGACACCTGCCAGCCCAAGGCAGAAATGCACAGAAACAGTTTAATCTCATTGCAGTGGCCAATGTTTACAAGTGAAGGAGAAATGTCTACTCTTATTTTGGATATATCTTCTTTGATGGCATCTTTTTCTCTGCACAAAATGAAATTACCTTTTTATACAAAACAATTAAGCGATCTTGGCCCAGCTTAAAAGCAATGAAGACAATTTCCATGCCAATAATAATATAAAGGGAAAAAAACAAGAAAAACTTGGGATGTTCCAGCTGTGTATCTCCAAATCCAATAGTGGTCAAGGTGATAAAGCAGAAATAAAAGGCTTCCTGAAAATCCAAATTGGATTCCCACTTTGGAAGAATAGCAGCTGCACAGGAGATGTACACAAAGATAACGAGCACCATTAACACAATGGGCACATCTAATTTTTCTAACTCTTTCCCTATTTTGTCAAAATTCTCAATTACTCTGGACACTGTCTTTCCCCTGGCAAGTTCAGGACATGAACTCCATCTCTCAATGCTTTTATTTCTTGCTGGTTTTGTTTGCTCATTTTCTCTGGCAATTAACATTTCAAAAAGTTCAACATTGCGATATTTCACAGGCCTCCTTTTCACACCAGCCTGACTTCTCAACAGTTCCATGATCGTCACGGGCTCATTGATGACTATTTTAGACTGTGCTCTGGATTTTAGTTCATTCCTTTTGTTACATGTGGATCCAGAGCAGAGTTTGGAGGCTAGAATTTTTGACTGCAGTTTTCTGAATTCATTGTAAGACTTGGATAAAACAGTTGCAAGGATGTCTCCCATGTCTGTCAGGACCAGGAACATCAGAGGGATACCAAACAAAGCATACAACATACAGACATATTTCCCAGTCCGTGTCACAGGGTAGGTATTGCCATAACCTTGAACAATAACAAGAAGAGGAGGAGAAGGGAAAGGGAGAGAGAGATAACATTATGATTTATTGGGTATTCACATCCTCTGGGCTTTTTATTGCTGTCAGTTTTTGAAAGTCAATTTTTAGTCCAGAGCATACTGTTCTTTTTGGCTTTGTTTTGAAGCTGTTAAAATTTCTGAGTCCCAGACACTTGATGCTAATGCAGGATCCTACCTGTTCAAGCACTTGGAGGTTTGGAGTTTGCCAGTTCTGTTGAATTAACTCTTCTTACCTTGTCTGCACCTTATCAGCTTCAGGACTTATCTGTCTGAAAACAGGAGGCCGTTTAGGGAGGAGAAACAAAAAGTTTGGGCCAACCCAAGGCTGGTGTGCAGGCTCTGTCCTGCTGGAGACTGCTCCGAGGAAGATTTCCTGACCTGGGCTAAGGAGGGACCATAGGCAAGACAACAAGAGAGATCTTGGGCCATGGGTCCCTGCACAGGGGATTTGAGCTGAGGGCTGAGCTCAGGGGGACAACAGCTGGTGCTGGGAGAAGCTGATGGGCCGTGCAGGAGGATCTGAGGGGTCATCTCCTGGTCAGCCTCCAGGATCTCACAGCACGACTAAATGTTTTCTGGGCATGAAACTCCATGAGCTCCAGGAGGATTCAGATCTAGATTGTTGTCTAAATTTGAAACTGGGACAGCACTGTGGATCAGACTGGGACAATGAGACCCATAACTCAAACTTCATTTCTCAATCAAAACTGCTTGTGATGAATGGTAAGGTGATAACAGAATTGGAAATTGTCCCTGGTTCATCAGCTCTAGCTCTAATGGCACATGTTGCATTGACATTTTGTTTGTACTGACTTCATAGTTTTCAGAGTCCCTTAAATGTACTCAGAACAGAGAATCAAGCGAGGAAGCATTTGCTTATCAAATGAGGAAATGCATGTTTACCCTAGAGTATTAAAGCTTACAAATATCAATTACAACAAACAGGGAAACACTACCAGACACAGGACCTTAAATAAAATGGTAGCAGAAAACATGTCCTTCCCCTAAATTCAATTTGGGTATTTATGTTTCCTTCCTCTAACATGCTAGATGGGAAACTTAAATTGTAAGATAGTTCTTTTCCAGCATACAGGAGAAAACATCAGTATTATAGTGAGTGCATTAAATTTTAACCACCATTTTTCTCCTCATCCTCCAAAAAGACATAAAGCATTTCTTCTCTTCCTTCAAAAACACTGTTCTTTTCTAGATGATCTTCTAGGACAAGTACTTAGCCTGTAAGATTATTAGCTCATATGCTGAGGTGTGGTTTCCTTCATTTACTTCATACATTCATGTTTTCACTAGTGGTTGCCACTGCCTTTGGTCTGAACTCGGTCTCAGTCCCTGCTTTGCTGTGAAGCACTGAAATACTATTTATTCTTGGGCACTCTGTGCCCCACAGGCTAACTGGAAATGCTAATATTTACTGTTGAAGTAATTGGGGAAGATTAATTTTTGTAGTTATTGCACAGTAATATTATTTCCTTTTTCTAAAATCGATGTCTGTGCATTAAAAATACTTTGTGCAGTTTCAAGGCTTAAAACTTATCCTGAGCTTAAATTTAGGTATCCAGAAATCTATCCTAGCTGAGCCACTAGGCAGCCTCCCCAGGTAGTGAGGAGGTGACAGTTCAGACCACCAAACTTCACAGTAGATGTCTCAATTCTCCTAGATAATTCAAGGTAGTTAATTTAATTCTACTCTGAGGTGATTTATCAGTTCCTAATACTGCAAATAACAAACCCACCACAATGGAAATAGCCACTTACTCCACCTATTAGAAACAAATATTCTAGGCTTTCTACTGATCCCAAAACTCAGGTCAAAATCTGAGGAAGCTGCATTAATGCTCAGTGCTATGAAGGCAAAAAGTACTGGCAGTTTAGTAATAAATATGTTGGGTTAGTGTGTATGGGACATTTGTCAAGTCCCACGTTAGTGGAGGTGGGTAAATAACCCCGGGAAGATGTTTTCAACAATGGGCTTTTTCATCAGTTTGCTGAAGTCAAAGCTCTGCTAAAACATCCCCTTTCAAAAGCTCCAAGCTGCTGTGTTTGTACCAGGAAATATTCACAGGGGTGAGGACTCTGGTCCCATCCCCAGTGTGTGTGTCTGACCCCCTGGATGACTGCCTTCAAACTCAGGGGCTGCAAGAACCTGCAGTGGAACAGTCATCTAAGACATCAGAGCCTGAGGTTTAAGCTTCTGCTGTGACTCAGGCAGCACTCAAGTGCTCCAAGTGGAGTATATTAGCTCTCACACTATTCCTTGTATAGAATAAGCTCTTTTTTAGGGTTCAGTTTTAATTTTACTTTAATATGCATACCCATGCTGGGGCCTTGAGTGTATCCTAACACAGTGAAGAAATGTCTTTGCAATTTGATACAATGCTGTGGGAATATTTCCCATCCAGCTTTGATTCTGACAAATGTAGATAGACAGTTCCTGTACTTGCCAGCATTTGAGAAAGATTAGCAAAAGGATAAAAGTAGCTTTGGAAGTGAGCATGAGGAACTGTGTTTAAGAATGCAGAGGGAGCCAAAATCAGAGCAGATGTTTCTATTTGATCTAGTTCCCCCATGGAAATATGAAGTCAGAATGGAAGAATTCAGAGGTGTCACTTAAACACTATGTGCTGTTAACCCAGAGAAGTATGAACACCACGGTTAATTAAAGACCCACAGATTAAGGAAGCTGAATTACACATAAATAGCATGGAAGCAGTTGAAAAACAATATATGGATTATGAATTATCTTTTCCAATGAAGAAAACATTACCCAATGGAACACACAATAAGGGTAAGGTTTGACTGAAAAATGGAGCTTTCTTTCTACTTTAATATAATAGTTCTGTGTACATGTCCTTTATGAGTATGTGTTACAGTATATATGTAATGATGCAGCTAATTAGTGTGTACCATCACTAGTTACTAAATTCCTACTTGTTTCTGTGACTCAGCTACATCCCTGCAACCTGTGTTTACAGAACTGCTTGCAGACTCATCATCAATACTCAGAAGAGAAATTCAAGGGGATTTGTGGTTTGGGTTTGGGAGAGGGGTTTTTGTTTGTTTGTTTAGAGCTTTTCTAATTCTCTGGAAGAAAGTCATTAGAGAAAGCAGCAATAGCAATTTATTCTGTAGGGTGTTACTTTACCTCTGAACTTACCCACAGTCGTGAACACTGTGCAGCAAAAAAAGAGAGACCCAAAGAAACTCCATTTGTCTTTTGGATTGACAAACCAGTCTTGTTGAGCTGTGTTGAGAAGATCATGGATTTTTTTCTTAAACTTCACCTCATTTTCTGTCATGTTATCTGTCACAGTCACAGCAGGAGACACAGTGAGTGTTTGCAGACCATCACTGAGGGAGCAGCCAGCATGTTATTCCAGTGAAGTTTACTCCAGCTGAGAATTAGCTCATGTTCTTTTAGAAGATAAAAATATTCACCTTCTCGCCCTCCCCTTTCAACCCCACCCCCCCTTCCTGAAAAAATCAGGTGGGTTCAGTGGCTTTAGTGAATAAAGAAACAAGGAACAAACAAACATAAGCATAAAGAAGCAGGACAGGAAGACTGAATAATCAGCTTCCAGCCTGAATGTCCTATTTCATTTCAGACTCTCCAGGAGATTGGTCTTCTTTTGACACACAGGCATCAGAAATGTGGAGTCATCAGTAGGTAAAGGATATGAACACTTGGGTGTCACTGCCCAGCACTCTGCTGGGAATCCCAGAGCCTGCAGCCCTTATTCCTCCTCCCCGTGGCCGAGCCTTTCTGGAAAGGTCAGGGTTAATTGCCCCAAACAGACCATCGTGTCGGCACAGCTACCTGAGTGAACTCCACGCCTGTGAACGAGCCCCGGCACAGACCCAGGAGGATTTACAGCCCTTCTCTTCCACTCTACCCCCTCCATCAGCATCTCTGGGTCTGGGGTGCAGGACTGCACCTCTCTCACTCTGAGCATCCCATCAGCAGAGGGCTGGGGGGGGGCTCAGAGCAGGGGAAGGGGGAGCAGGAGAAACTTTCTGAGACGGAGATTTCAGTCCCCAGAAAACAGAAGGAAACACCACAGGAATCTCAGCTGGTCTTCAAGGACCTTAGGTAGCCTGGGCAAAGAACACAGGCACCTCAGAAAAGCCTTTTCAGGCAGGAACACGGGGGCTGGGGAAGCTTGCAGTTAGAAATCACAGCTAAGGAAGGAACCAGCAGCTATTAGCTAGGCAGAGGAAAAATCCTGTTTGCAGGGTTAGGTGTTAGTGTTTTGAAGAATGTCTTCAAAAGCAAAAAATCTCATTCCAAAAGCAAGAGAATGAGTGACTCCCTGTATAATTAAGTCATTTTGAAATTCCAGTACATACCTGATAAACTTCTGCTGAGGTACGTCAGGTTCTGCAGAAAATTTCTATAGTCTTCACTAAATTCCACCTTCCTGTTACCTTCAATGTGGGAAAACATGAGAGCCCCCAGAAAAGCATAGATGACAAGAGACAGAATGAAGCAGGCATGAGGAAACACTGCCCAAAAGATTGTTTTACATGCTGTTTTACCTCGCAGACGCTGGGATGTTGATGCCATCCTAAGCTTGTCTGTTTTTTTTTAATGTATAATTTTGTGGAGAAGATGCAGCTTTTAGAAAGAGTGATGAGGATGTAAAAGCTTTTGCATCCTAGAAAAGCTTCTCCTGTGAAAACAAGGAGTGTTCTGCCTCAGGCTTTCAGATCACATGTCTTTATAAGTGAAGATTGCACTACAGTCCCAATGGGAAAGGAACACAACTAATCAAGCTTTGAAATCCTTCTCAGTTGATGCCACTCCAGCCCTGAATTACTATTGATCAGCCAGTGTTGTAATGCACATGGATTACCAGCTTCTATCAGTTTTCACTGGAGTCAATTCATGTTTAAAGTTTCTTGTCCTGAACTACAGTTTCCCATTGATACAGTAGAAACATTTCCAGCTCCCAGGAGGGAAAATGCACACTGTAAGGGATGGATTTTTTTCAAGATTTCTGCCAGAAATTAGAAGGGAAACTTAAAATTTATCAAAAGAAGGGGATGGCACTAACTGTTATCACCTCTGGGCAGACTGTACAACAATTAATTTCTCTTTCAGAGGGTTAAAGAATCTCTCTATACCATGCAATCTGTGTAGAGGAGGACTTTTGAATTTTAAAATCTTTTTCTCAAAAAAAAAAAAAAATAACAAAGAGTCAAGAAGATTTTTCCTGGTTCTCACTTGATTAAAATCTTGCTATATTAATAGAAGTTTCAATCATGAAACTCCCACTGATCTTAATAAGCAAGAACTGCAGGATTCAGTTCAAGTTAGTGAGCTTTGCAAACTATATCCAACTTTAAAAATAAAACCTTTCTTTTCATCCATCCCTCTAAAACACTTGGAGCAACAAGCAGTATCACTGCCCTTTGCAATGTTTGTAGTGATAGTAATGGGAGTTGGACTTTACAGAAAGAGGTGTTAAATATTTCATCTCTAGGCATCTTTCATTAAAAATTAAAACATTCTTGTGCAGCCAAGACCTACTGAGCTGTATATAAGTAACATGTCCACACTGCAAGAAATCCTACATGGTTTCAATTGTTTCTTTCAGTTCAAACTCTCAGCAAATTGGATCAGAAGATATTTTATGCTCATCAGTATGGAAGTCTTTGCTACAGAATAGAAGCTTTCAGGGCTAAGACAAAAATAAGCCTGTGTGCTTGCTACTTTTCTGGTTATCTGCCTCATTGGCTCAGTGTTGTTTTTGACAGCAGATTTATAAATCCTCTTATTGCAGTCAATCTCTTTTCTCCCCCCATTGACCTGAAAGCCAGGGTTAAAAACTGCTAATGTTCGTAATTAATCAAAAGCAGCAGAACTTCCTGAGAGGCTGTGCTTGGAGATAATGTCCATAGGTTTGGTGTCCTCACCAGAGGATCAGGGACACAGAGAAGTCAAAGAGACAGAGGGAAGAGCAAAGTGGCTCCAGGCAATGGGCTGCTCCATGCTGGAAGCACAATGCCGGGAAAGGTTTGTAGGGAGTGGATTCTGGTGTCATATAAATTGATAGAGATTATATGAATTTCTAAAAAAAAATAGAAAACAGAAAAGACAAACTCCCTCTCCAAAGGTTTTTAAGGGAATTAAACAGCTATTGCATAAGAGAGAAAGTCTTCACAGGAAGAAATTAATGGTTAATAGAGAGGATCAGAGGGCAGGAGTAAAAGGCAGAGTGAGTTCGGTGATGGAGTTATGTGTGGGTGTGTGCTGGAGCTCTGCTGCTCCACACAGTCATAAATGACCTGGAGAGAGGGTAAATGTTTGCTGATGGCTTGGAGCTGTTCAGAACAGTGAGACTAAGGGCAAACTGGAATTGAAGAAGGATCTGAGGGTGCCTAGCAATGAAATGGCAGATAAAAGCCAAGTAGATAGATGTAAAATGGCATAAACATTCCTAACTTCACACACAGTGATAAGCTCTGGGCTGACCATCACCACCCAGCAGGAAGATCTGGGGGTACACATCAGCCCAGCAACAGATCATGGTGAAGAGGGAAAACCTGGGTTGGGAATAATGAGTCAGAAACAGAGACTAAACCATCTGACAGCTCTATACTGCTGCACAAATGTTTGGTTTGCACATACCTGGAGGAGTCAGTGTGGTTCTGGTACTCTGCTCTCAGGTAGCACAGATAAAAACTGGGTAAATTTCCAAAGCAAAAGGATGGCTGAAGGTATGGACAGCTGTCAGACAAAGAATGACTGAGCAGTGCCTTTTGCCAGGGTGGAAAAAAGATGTGGCTGAGGGAGTGTATAACAGCAGTGTCCAAACTCCCAGGGGGTCTGGAGAGAGCAGGTAAGGGATCAACTGTCTGTAGTCTTGTCTGGAACCAGAACTGAGCACCACCAGAAGAAGCAAGTAGGAAGCTACTTCAAAACAAATAAAACAGGATGGTTTCTCATGTAGGTAGAAAATTCTTTGCCAAAGGATGTTGGCTTTCCACACATCAAAGAAGAGAATGAAGAAATGTTTAGAAGAACAGCCATTAATACTGTCTACAAACCACCAGGGCTCAATAACTCCCCTGAACTGAAAATAATTTGCAGCTGGAAAAATGAAACAGGGTACTGGGCCAAATGGGCCCCGTGTCTGAGGCAACATAGTCCCACTGATGTTCTGAAAAAGACTTCACTGCCCAGTATGGTAATTCTGGCACAATTTATCCTGCACAGTTTTTCATCTATGTCTCAGATACAAACATCTTTCCTCCAAAGTGCTTTAAAATCTTCTCAACTTTCTCCCATGCATGGTCCTGCAAAGTATTTAGCAATTCCCAGGAGCTTCTCAGCCATTTGCAGCATCAGGCTCTGAGCCTGTGACAACAAGAAAATTTAATAAAAATAAATCCAAAAATGATTTTTACATTATTTTCTTAATCTAAACCATTTCCCACTATTGCTGTATTACATATTTGAACTCAGTTGCTTAAAAGCAAATCCCACTAACCACAAGTTATTCCAAATTGAGTTACTGGTACTTGTATTGAGAGACATTTTTGCAATACACATTTCCTATTCACAGTAATGGACAGCAAACCTGCACTTGTCCTAACTTCCATTTCTTTGATTAGGGCAAATGTGAGTGCTCTGAAGGTGCTATGTGAAAGGAGAGCTTGTGACCACAGCTGCAAGGTTAAATAATTCCAGTGCAAATATACTTATGTTAGAATTCCTACTTTATCTGATGTTTCTGGATTACAAAAGTTAAACCTTGAAGGTCATAGTTTGGGTAGAAAGATTTTTTTTCAATAATCAGTAAAACTCTCCCTCCATTAAATCACCTGCTATATTGTGAAAGACCTGCTGTGTTACCTCTTCCATGAAACACCTTTGGATTCACCATCCTGTACTGACAAATGTTCAATAGTGTAATCTCCTTTTTTGAAGAAAAACAAAGTGACCTGAAGGATGACAAGTGCTTTCTGTAAAGGAAAAAAAATACAATGGACTAAATTGTTCGCTTTTATTTTCATCTGGCATTGATTGTGATGGGAATATTGCCTGATAGAGGAATGAGATCTCAGCCTGGCAGCACTTCATGACAATGAGAATTAAAAACATTCCATTCAAGGTTTCATGCTAACAAGGATCAGAGAGGATTTGAACTATTTCTCTAGCATATGCCCCTAGAAAGTATTTCCAGAATGCACTAATATGTTTAAGCTCCCCAAGAAAATATGTGTTTGTGTATAAAGGTGGTATCAACCCCAACAAACAAACAAGGGGGAGAGAAATGCACTAATTGGCTGCGTAGGGTGTGTTGGATACCCTGGGATAAGGTTTAGCTTTCTTTTTATCCATCTTTAAAAGTCTCAGCTCTTGCTTGAGTCAAGTGCTTGAGCTTGTAGCCTCTGGGAATATTTGAGAGCACTCAGGACTAACATCCTGACACCACATATAATGCTAAGTGGATTCAGAGGTGTCCAGGACTCTCACCCTGAATAGGAGCATTTCCTATTTCATTCTTTGTTCACACCAATACCAAGCAAGTGGTCCCATCAGTTCAATTATGAGAGGCAAACACCCTTCATATGCCCCAGGACCAACCAGGGTTTGGGTATTAGCCTCTGTTCCTCCTCTATTTTTTTGACAGGGATGAAGTCACAGTCAGAAAACACCTTTGATGGGAGTCTTTCACCTGGTAACTAAACAGCAGGACCATCCTTTGTTCACTCAGGAGCTAACCAGCCACTTTATCCCCTCTCCCCCATGCCCAAATTACTGCCTGAGTAGAAAGACTTCACTTGACTCTCCCCTTCCTCAAACCTGAGCAACCAGCAGCAGCGTGGCAGGAGCAGAGCTGCCCGCTCAGGCACGTACCCCTCACAGGAAATGTTACCCCTTCCTCCTCAGGGAACTGGGAATGTCTGCTCTCTCCCAGAGCTTCACCCAGCAGCCAGGGGTGCAGCACGTGTGGAGGGTCTGGGTGCTGCAAAGCTGAGGTGTCCCACTCAGCAGAGCACTTCTCCCTCCTCCTGCTCCCTCTGCTCCCTGAACCGGCGCTAAGCGGGAATGCTCTCGGGACTGGGAGGGGAAGCTGCTTCTGGACGGACAACACCCTTCCAGCCCCTCGCTAAAGATCCACGGACAAGCTGAAATCAGGCGTTGATGGACAGAGGGCAGCAAGTCTTCATCAGCCCGGGGGAGGCTTTGCAGAGTCCCTCGGCAGCACTGCGGACGCTGCTCATTTCTCTGTGTGACTCACTGGAATGACATGACTCGGCTGGGGTGTGGGAACAAGCAGAAAGGTTCATATCACCCTGAGTCACCAGTGTAAGACCCCACCGTGCAGAAGCCCTGGGTTTCCAGATAAGCAAAGGGGATTACTGAGGTTCAGCTACAAGTCTTATGCCAAAGTCTTTACTGAGTTAATGTAGTGAACGTAATGCTGGTATAGAGGAGACTATCTCAGCACAGTAGTTCATTTTAAGGCAAACAAGCTCCCTGTAGAGAGATCAGAAAACTGGTTCTTTGGAATTTAATTAACATCAGAGCATGTGAGATTATATGCTGCATGA